TGCATAATATTTCTAGTGGATGGTCTACCACTTGCTTGTCCCCATGGAAATATTATTGCTTGGTCTATTATTGCTTGGTCTAGAATGTTCCACAGTATAGATTAAACCTATCTATCACGAGGAAGATATGCAGGTTACAGCACTGGTGGCAGTAGCTCAGTTGGTAGAGCATTCGCCCACTGATCTGAAGGTTGGTGGTTCGAATCCAGCTCTCGACATAAACATCTCTTGAGTGGTCAGATCCACTGACCCACAGGTTGTGATTCCAGCTCCCACAGATGAATGCTGTTGTTGTGTCCTTGGGCAAGACACTTAACCCACCTTGCCCACAGTGTCTGCATACACTGGTGTGTGTGAATGGGTGAGTGGTTCCTTGTTGTAAAGCGCTTTGAGTGCCTTGAAGGTGGAAAAGCGCTATAGAAAAATGTGACCATTTACCATTTACCACTATGCTACATTATGATTCAGATCTGTGGAGAGTCGCAGAAATAATTATTGTATTTTAGAAGAAAACACCCGTCATGAATATATGCTAGATGTATATGATTAATGTCATACATGGAACATTCCAGCCAAATCAATAACATCTCCATGGAGACAAGTAGGTAGTAGACCCTCCAGCAGAAAAGTTGCACAGTGCACCTTTAAGTACCATAATTTCCTCCTCAAACAACCAAATGTCATATCTTATTTTGCCAGAAAGCAACTTACCCTAACATATTTGAAATGTGATTAATGTATTACTTTATTAGCTCCAGTTTCTTTTCATCAATTCTCCTGGATATGTTTGAAATATGAACTTTGAACAGAATCCTATTATTAGGCCTGTCATGATAACGCATTTTGAAGTTTGTTATATTCCTGACATAGACGATGATAATATTGAAACTAATTTATGCCATTGTTACCATAACTGAAGAGAAAACTACTGTAAATTTTCAATATTGTTAAAAGAAAAAAAAAAAACATGAGCTGCAATAAAAACAACAGAATGAAACACTTTTAGTAGCCCAAAAAAATACAGACAGTAAATATTGAGCTCTAAACAATATTGCTCCAGCTTTCATATATTGAACGATAAATCGATATAGTAATTATTCTGACAGGCCTACTTATTATTAAAACATACATCGCAAATCTGATCTCAGTATTTCTCTGAAAACTCTGAATTCGATATTGTTCCCAAATCGTTCAGCCCTATCTTCTACACATCAAGCAGACCTGATCTCACAGCACATAACTGCATTAGGCTATCTTCACTACTCCTGATATAATCTCTGTGAGTGCCAGACTTCCAATGCACCAGACACTGACTCTTATCCGTTTATTAGTAAATTTGATCAGGGTGTCCTATAGTGCTGCTCTCGTACTGTAATTCAGACCCATCTGTATCCTGAACAAACGCTGAAAAAAACAAAAAAATGCTGTTGATTAAGCTTCTCCATCAGGTTTAATGTGACAGGCAATGAACAGGCAATCATTTTATTCTCTAAGTGACAATATGATTATCAGGGTAATACACACGACTGCATGACAAATAGTGGTACGTGTAAAGAGAAAGGTGTCTCCAATAAGCCTATCACCATAACAAATGTTGAAGCCTGATATATTGGTATACTGCGATAAATGGTAATATTGAAACTACTTGATGCCACTGACACAATAACTATAATGTAAGATAATCCCATTAAACCATTTTTAAATAGATGGTATCATTAAAAAGGCAACAAATAAATAGCAGAATGAAATTAGCCATGGAAGTCTGTTATTCAAGCCTTTAAATCTCAAATCTTACTGTATTACAACAAAAATGCCCCACTACAAAAAAAAAACAAAACAAACAAACAAAAAAAAACCACATGATAAATATTGAGCCCCAAAATATTTTGTTCCAGCTATCATTGAACGATAAGTCGATATAGTAATTATGGTGACAGGCCTGGTCTCGGATGTGGTATTTTCAAGATAATACTGCAGTTGATGTCAGTACTGCAGTAATTTAATTGAACATACCTACCTTCCTCTTATGCCTTTATTGTAGTAACATTATTTTTGGTTTTAGATTTGCAAGATGTCATACTTCAAAATGTGAGGCAAGAGACAGTTTTCTGTATTGATGACATTTTAATTAAAAAAAATAAATCTAAGAGAAAAATTCTCACATATCTTTATGAGTTGTCAAAAGTATTGAAAATCATATACTATTACATACAAAATTTTTTTAAACTAGATTCTCGTTTGAACTACAATAGATACTAAAAAAAAATCACATTAATATAATATAAAAGAAAGTCCATAATTTAATGTTGAAAATATTCGAAAGTCTATTCTAGTCTTCTATTTGAAATTGATATTCCAAGTGGACTTTCTTTCCAAGTACTAACCAGGCCCAGCCTTGCTTAGCTTCTGAGTATTGGTGTCAGGCATTGGCTTTGGTTGAAGCTGAACAGAAACAACATCTAATAATAAAAACGACTTTAACTGCATAATATATACTCAACATCTGTCTAGGTTGATATTGCAGCAAAGTCTAAAGGCTTTCAATGGAGATGCACATCATTACTTAGACTTGATAAGTGACTGGCTATAACAATAGGCTACCTTGAGTAGTAAATGGTAGGTATTTAACATAAGAAGTCGTGACTGTATTTCTGTGAATGAAACAGAATCCTTCCTGGTGATGTTTGGAATAAAACATCTTACAGGAAGAGAAGAGGTCATGCCATTTGAGAGGCTTTCTGCAACAAGCGTGTGTGGGATGGAGGAATCCATTTTAAACTTGAATGGAGAAAAGGTAAAATGAAGCATACAAGAGTCAGTAATTCTCTATTGAGCTAAAAGGCCACCAAACACAAAATTTAGCTTTACAGCCTTCTTTTACTAACTAATTTTATTACACTGAACTAAACTCTAATAATTACTTTTTGTTTTTATTCTATTAATACTTAGTACAGAGTTCAAAGTTCAAATTTCTACTAATACTTACACTCCTTACACTTACAGTACAATTCCAGCTCCTACAGATTAATGCTGTCATTGTGTCCTTGGGCAAAACACTTTATCCACATTACCTGCCTCTGCATACACTAGTGTATGAATGTGTGGGTGAATGAGTGAGTGGTTCCTTGCTGTAAAGTGCTATACAAAGATGTGACCATTTTCCATGTAACATTTACATGGGAACAAGTAGAAAGAGGCCCTCCTTCTGGCCAATTAAAACTCAGTTTTGTCCACTCACAGTAATGATACAGGATTTTGTATGTTTTTCAATGGTTGTAATATAGTTGTTGTAACATGGCAGTTGTAATTAAATTTGGCGGTTGGAGTGGTTGGCAGTGGCTGGGCAGGAGGCTGTGTGCAGAGCGTCCTGCTGCTTATGTAACATGAGGCCTTGGTGAGTGTGAGGATGAATCAGAGGCTCGAACCGGTCCATGTCTGTTGCATAACAAGCTGACACCTCTCTGTCCCTCACATCCACGCACACCGCATCAGCTCTGCATCTAAGCCAGTGCGCCCAACGTGAATGCATACAACGTGAGTGCACACTAAATGAACTCACACAGCCCTATTCAGACACTTTTGTGCAGAGGAAAAACGTAACTCTGAATATACAGGAATATTTGTGTGAAGTATGAGTATTGCAGGTGTATTCATCTTATCTTAACTTCATGATGGACTTTCAGGTTGCAACAGGTTAAAGTTGTCTCAAAAGAGCAAATGTTTTATCCAGGTTCTTTTTCCCCTACGTGCATAAGCATTAGGTTTAATACATTGTAGAAAATGATTCCAAATTTTAAATGTGAATTTCTCCAGAATTATTGGTCCTATCAACATGAAATAAAAGCTGTAGTGATCTTGACATGTCTGTATCTTTAATCAAATGGAAGATTGAATTTATAATACAGATTGATCAATATGGGGAGAAAAAATTTCATTATTTTTTTCCATATCACCCAGCCCTAATTGAAAGACAAAACTGCACAATTTTCAAAACTGGCTTGTAAAAACTATTTGATAGATTCATAAACAGGTAGATAAATGGTGTTTATTCATTTACTGTATGTTAGTTTTTAAACGTTTTTACTGGAGTTTCTATTCCACTTACTGCCTTTTCTTTTACTCGTAATATCCCAGCTCCTAATCTATAATGATCCATGGCCCTGATGCATGAAACAAGCCATGAACATGTGTTACAAAATATTACCTTAAAGCACCATGGCTTATTCTCTCTCTGTATATATAAGCTCCTAATTCTTCTATGAGACCCGACACTGAGAATGTAAGGTGCACTTTTACACGCTTAGTTTACTGCAAGATACTTAACTTAGCAAAAGATATAGTTTTTTTAGGGGTTGTAATAATATCATGTATTTTAGTTTATAACCATAGAATAGAAATATTAACGTTACCTGCTGTTTGCTTATAGTTATATAAACCACAACACTACCACAATTTCATTACTGAACAAGCTGAATGGGTAATGAGAAAGCAAAGCCAAACTCTCTGGTTTAAAATTCTGTAGACTTTTGCAGTTGCTTCAGGAATTGTAAATATCGAAACTACTGTCCAGGGATGGCAATAATTTCAACATCATTTCTTTGTTTACACTATATCAATGTACTTTATAAATTCTTCGGTGTTGTATGAGCATGGTACAGTAGTTTGAGTGGTTGTGCTCAAGCTAGAGGGTAGCTGGTTCAAGCCTTGGCCAAGTGCATGCTATATATTGCCTAGAAATTTCACCTATGGTGCCCACTAGTCACAGAACATCTGAATGTTTGCAAAAGTGCATCTTCCATAAAACCTTTCCAGGAGTCTGTGCTATTAGTTCACTGTCCTAACCTCAAATGAATAAGAGTGCGGTTGAATGAAGTACATGGGTTTGACATTATTATTTCATAGGAGATGCCGTTACTTATCCAGTGCGCTAGGATCAGACCTCTGCTGGTTCACCACAGACATAAATGTTAAATGGTGTTTTTGCTTGTATTTTTCTTCAGGCGCGGTACAAGCAGAGTCTGGACCCCACGGTGGATGAGGTGAAGAAGCTGTGCACATCTTTGAGGAGAAATGCCAAAGAGGAGAGAGTGCTGTTCCACTACAATGGCCACGGAGTTCCCCGGCCCACAGTCAACGGAGAGATCTGGGTTTTTAACAAGGTACAAACAGGCTGTAGATTATAATGGAAGATTTAAACTGCTTTAGGATTATTTGAAATACAACAGGGTGAGAAGGTTTTCTCTTCTAATAAAAGTCTGTGCACTTTTCTTTCTACTTCTAAGTTATAAGTGTGTAATTTTTCAGGTGGAGCGTCAGCCCCCTGCTTGTCTCCATAGCGATGTATTTGCTTTTCCTAGAATGCTCCACAGTAAGGCTTTACAAATATTTGTCACTGTGGAAAAAAGCAGGTGAAGTTACAGGTCAAATCCAGTAAGAGTTTATAAGCAATAGAACACCTGTAATTAAATAATTGCGTACTAAATTAATTTAATGCCATACTGAGGAACAATCCAAGCAAAGTAGTAACATCTCCATGGAGACAAGCAGGTGGCGGAGTCATTTGGCCCCATGAAGAATGATAGATATTAATGTTTAAAAAACAATCTTCAGGTTTTGACATTGTTTTCAACCATTTTTAAATGGTGAAAATCAAAATGAAATCAGAACATTGTCATGTTGAAGATTGTAAACCACCATAAGTAATATGTCATTGTCAGTCTGTCCCTGTCCCTTTACATGATTTATATGAAAAGTCAATTTATTTATAGCTCATGCAAGAATTCATCCATTAAAATCATTATCAGAATACATGGATATTACATGCTCATCAATACCATTATGTGGCATAATACCAATCCAATATACCAGTAACTACTTGTTTTGATCTCTTCTAATACCTCTTCCTCAGTCCAAAACTTGACCTAGACTGCCTTGTACACTTTCACTGTCTTGTGAAACAGACATAAAATCTCTAACTGTTCATTGGCCGTCCCGTAAGTAAGCACCCACTCACAATGATCCACAGCAGCTGTCCGCACCGGCCTGATACCTGCGCGTCCTCACTGCACCCCTGGGCCCTGTCCCGTCTCCTCTCACTCCAAATTATATTCTGGCCACATAAAGTGAAGCTCTGAAATGGGGGATCAGTAGGGATTTGTTGTGTGGCTTGAGTAGGGCCAGATTTCTTTTAAATATCAGATAAAATACTTTACCAGCTCCCTTCAGTCTATGTGTCTGTATTGTCGGGTACATTTTGTTCTCGCTTATTTCTCCCTGTCTCTATACACCTCATGAAACACACGTCTTATTAATAATAAAAAGGAATCTGTCAAAGTGAGCTACTGGAACAACACGCTAAGCCTGTACACTGCATGGTAAAGTCACAAGTAGACATAAACTGCCCAGTGTTTGAATTTGAAGTGGAGGACATTTTGACTGACAGATTGCAGAGGTTTATGCATATTTTATGGTTTGCATTAGCTAGAACAAAGGGGTCTGTCCACATGAGTTATAAAGACATATTGGTAACTGGTACTGGGAAGTACTGGGAAGTTCCAATTAGAGCCCGACCGATATGGATTTTGTTGTGACCGATATGGAACCGATATAATGAAAGTTGGAGCTGCCGATAGCCGATATAATCACCGATATATTTAGTGATGTAAAAATTCACTGTAAATCTTGAATTGATTAAAAAACTTAGGTTTGGCTCTAGTGGATTCTAAATTGGGTTTATTTAGGCAACATTTATTGTTATTTTGACTCTTTACATCATATTTACATACAGTAGATTGGCCTACTGGCATTTTTGCATCACATTCTAGCTACTGTTACTGTCACTGCTAGTGATGGGTATTCCAGTTTTTTTTTTTTTTTGGAGAACCGGCTCGGCTCACTAAAGCAACTGGCTCTTTCGGCTCCCAAGCGACTCTTGAGATGGTTTTGTTGCAAGCAGGACTAAACCAGAACTGAACCAGGACTGAGTGTCGGGACTCGGTTTCTATCTCTCTCCTTCACTTAAGCCCAAGATTAGTCCTGGTTTATTCATTTTATGCTGAACTGCAGCCAAATATGCACTTTTTTTTTATCCTATGCACACGCAGATTTCTGAAAGTTTCGTTTTCAGCCGCTGCTGCTGTCAAACTACGGGTCTACATGCGGCATGAAGAGAAAAAGTGAGAAAAAGAGAAAACACGGCTCCCAATAAGAAGCAGGCTCCTGTTGTTCGCTTCAAAGAGTCGGCATAAGAGCCGCTTCGATCGCGACCGACCCATAACTCCAAGCTAGTAAACTATCGCTATTAGCCTTTAGCCGTAAAAACGTGCGCACCGCGGTAATTAATTATATGCATAAATGTGGATCATTCACACGTCTATTCACAGCTCATTTACATATCAATGCTGGTCCAGTAACAAATATACGGCCAATGTAGTCACTTTACAATAGACCAATAGAAAACAGCCTGTTTATGTGTGGGAGCTACAGCAGCTAATCGCTAACAAAACCTAAACTAGCTTCAAAGTCGATGTATTTCCAACACTCACCGCTCACACAGGCTCCTCCTCACATCACAAGTCTGCACACTAATAAATGTCCTTTTAATCCAGACTCAAACCGATTGTCCGAAAAATAATATAATCTCAGTGTTGCGCACCGCTGCGGGTGTAAACAAACACACGCGAGTGAAGTGACGTCACTCTGGTGGTGTGTTCAGGGACAGTACGGACACAGACAAATTACACCGTAGATAAATACTGATGCGGAGCCACATATTAGGACATTTATCTGTCTGTAAATTGGATTAAATGAACATAATGTAGAGAGTCTAAGATTTATAACGAGGTATAACATGCCCACGTGAAATATCGGCCTATATCAGCAAGCATATCAGCCGATATGTCTCCAGGTGCCCATATTGGCCGATAATATCGGCCAGCCGATATATCGGTCGGGCTCTAGTTCCAATGTATTCTGTCAGAACCTAAATGAGTTGATTTTCCTTTATTTTTTATTTATTTGTTAAATTTTCTTCATAATAGCTTTAAAAGGTGGTGGTACTCATTAATCAAACACAGTGATATGATCCTTCAGTTGAGAGAGCCATAAGTTTAAGGAAAGTTTGTATAAGCAATCTCTAAGAAAAGATAATCCTTGATTGTCTCCCATGGGAGAAATTTGTCTTGGGACAGGGGGTCGCATGCTTTAACACAAAGTCAAGACAACACAGCAACATAAGCCCATACAAAAAACCACCATGGAACATAATAATGTATGACCATGTATGACCACAAGTGATACACCAACCAGGACCTTTAAATCACTCTAAATGACAATCCTGTGTGATACATACAAATGGAGTGTCAAATTTTAGATTTATGGACCCATTAAGTAAGATTGTGTTTCCATTTTTTATTTTTATTTTTCAAGAATTTAAAAGTTAAAGTGTTATGGTTATCAATATTCATAATTTTAATATTATGAACAAGTTCCATGCCTGTTGTAAGCGTAAATAAAAATCACCAAGAAGAAAACGTCTGGAATAAGTAGCCAATAAGTAGCCTGCACAATGAATAATCACAATTATACAAAATATACCACAAACATTTCTTATCTACCCTATACCCTATGTTTATTGCCCCATCCCTACTTCCTAACCCAACAAAATCCAAGAAAGTATTTTTATTATTTTCCAGAACTACACCCAGTACATCCCCCTGTCCATCTACGACCTGCAGACATGGATGGGGAGCCCCTCCATCTTTGTTTACGACTGCTCCAACGCTGGCATCATCGTCAAGTCCTTCAAACAGTTTGCCCTCCAGAGAGAACAGGAGCTGGAGGTGGGTACACTCACTATGAGGCCATAATCAACACTCACTCTTCATAACACTTAGTAATGCATAGGATATAATTAGAAGAAAGGGACTAAATTGGGAGCTGAGTCAGGCAGACAACAGGCTGTACAGGTTTGGTCATTATCACTTGGCTATGAATCTATAGTTAGTTCATTCATGTTGACCAAGAGCTGCTGAAGCTTGAATGCAAGTACATGCAAGTGGTCTCAAGAAAGCGTGGTGTGATAGTATGGATTTTTATACTAAGTGAAAGCCATAATAATAGTAACAGATAAGTGACACAGCAAAGTTTCGTCAAGTAAAAAAATAATGTAGCAAGTAATGAGTAATTTTCTAGTCGGTGTCGTTAATTTTTCACTGACAAATTTAAACTTTCAAACTTACCATTATATAAACGCCACCAAAACCATATCAGTTTTAGCAATGTTTCAGTGTTTTTTAAAGCAGAAGCAAACCAAGTCTAGATCAGGACTAAACTGGGATCAATCTAGGACCAAACCAGGACAAGTTATTTAGCCCTCCAAGTAATGAATTATTAGATGTTCTGCTCATTGGGAAAAAACAACAACAACAACAACATTGGTTTATTTAAGGAACTAAATGGAATGAGATTAACTGGTAATTCCACTATGAAAACTTGAAAAACTTTTATGAACATTTCCGTTGCTAAATCGCAGACTCATACGGTGCTTCTTGATTTTCCTCCATTAGAAAAATTGAACTTCCTGGCGCTGCTTAAACCAATCAAATGCACATCTGGCTCTGATTGAGTCTCTTCCACTACAGCCTCTTAGGCACTTCATCTCTTTATTATGTCCACCCCCCTCCTCATTTTCTCTCTCTCTGTCTGTCTCGCTGTTTTTTTCTGTCTGTGTCTCTCATTCTCATTCTCAGTCTTTCTCTCTCTGTCTCTCTCTCTCTCTCTCTCTCTCTCTCTCTCTCTCTCTCTCTCTCTCTCTCTCTCTCTCTCTCTCTCTCTCTCTCTCTCTTTGCAGCAATGGCATGTTATGTGAAATCCTAATGAGAGAGTACTGTCATTCATCTCAATTATTCATGGGGAGGTCTGAGCTAGACTGTAGATTAGCTGGGAAAGAGTGGAGAGACAGAGGTATGGAAGGAAGAAAAAGAGGAGATGGAGAGTGGGAAAAAGAAGAGAGAGTGTGAGAGAAAGAGGGGAGAGAGAAAAGGTTAGGAAAGGCAATAAGGAAACAAGAGTTAAAGAAAGGGGAGAGGGAGGTGGGACGTGGGTAAGAGAGAGAAAGGGAGAGGCGAGAGATAATTCTAGAGATAGAAAGAAACAGAATGAAGAGTAAGGGAGTGAAAGAGAGAGAGAGAGGATTGAAAAAAAGGTGATAGGCAAGAGATAAGAATGTAGTAATAGAGGGAAAGAGAGGGGAGAGAGAGGGCAGAGAAAGAGGAGATGTGGAGCTATGGAGAGAGAGAAGAGAGAGAACGGGCTTGGGAAAGGGAGGGAAGAAATAGTCTGATAAGGGGATGAGGAGTGAGCGGATATAAGAAGATGGAAGGATGGTAGAAGATGGGAAGGAGAGAGACGAGAGGTAGGAAGTTAGGGAAGGAGAGGGGAAAAGAAAAGGGAGATAGAGAGACTGGGAGAGAGAGAGAGGGAGAGGTAGATAGAGAGAGGGATAGACGGAGGTAAATGGAGAGAGCGACAGTGGTAGATGGAAAGAGAGACAGGGATAGATGGGAAGAAAAAAGATGGAGTAAGAAATAGAGAGATGAAGAGAGAGCGATATAAAGAGCTTTGTGAAGCTGCGAGCTGCAGTTGTTAGCTGTGGAGAGGCAGAGGTGAGGGCAGGAGACAAACTGCTGAGTGGATGCAGCATTTGACAGGGCGCTCCTCACAGACTGTTTCAAACTCGTGTCTCTTTGGAGGTCACAGTAGCGGCACCAGTGCGGCCTCCTGACAACACGTCTGCTCTGTCAGGGGAGGAGTTCACTGCAAACTTTGTGTGAAATGCTTAAGATGGCTAAAGTCAGCATTTTCTATCCACTGTACATTCTGGTATGTATTTTTCTGGCGTGGTTCTTGGACTTTTTGACAATTGAATGCGTTTTGTACTTTTTCTTAATGAATCATTTTTTCCACCCTCTGATAAAAGGGATCTATCAAGCTCGTGGGACTTTTATATTTATATTATCTGATGCTCCTTTGTGCATAGCTTGTTTCCACTTAAAATTTGAATGGACTAGACAGCAGAGGCCCAAACTATGGGGTCTGAAAGAGCCCAGCCATTTTTCGTTACAAAGGGTTCAGACACAGATTCACTTTGATCATTTTCTTTGGGCATTTTAGGAAAAATAGGCACGAATTGGCAGCTTTAGTTTGAGACTATTTGGCCTATGATTATTTTGAAATTACAACTGTTTGTAAAGTCCCCCAGTCAAGCAAAAAACTCAGACAAGAAATTGTTTAAAAAAAATAGTCCTTATAGAACTGAGCTGCTCTTATCTGTTTACACTGTGTAACTACAGTGTGGTTTGTAAGTCCTTCTGTGGACTATGAGAGTATTCATATTTGCACAATCCTCACATCAGAATTTGGACAAAATCAGAACTAAACATTAACCTAAGCAACGCTCAAAATCATGATCATGGATTCTTCATATACAGTAATTTAACATATGGTGGTCTACTGCCCACTACTAATTAATATTTTAGCAAATGAACCGCTGGTAAATAACACAAACAAACAAACAAAACAAAAAAACTATAAAGTAATGGTGCAATTATAATAGGTGATATAATGTGTTATGTAACCACTACATGAACTTACTTGTCTATTGCATGTTGAAAACCATTTTGCTGCTGTAATTATCATAGAAATGTGTATAAAAAACTAAATCCAAACCAAAAGAAAAGTATAAAACATACACTATGTATGTCTTTTCTTTTAACATGAAATATCTACATCAAAGTTAATCATATTTCAAGACTAGGTATGAAATTAGTTATACAATTCAATCAAACTTTACATATAGATGAAAATGCATGGAGGAAGCACTCTCCAGACTATGTACTATATCATACAGTTATACTCAAAACCTGCATAAACTCACCCAAGGTATACTGCCCCTTTAAAGACCTGGTACAGTACATAATGTCCACAAGGTTGTTTCCCCATGAATAACCACCCCCTCACCTCCATGTCTGGGAAGTACACATCGCCGCGGTAATGGAAGTTACAGAAAGAGGCTTTTTAAACATGCAGGAAGTGGTCCATGCAGGGAGTCCCCACCGCCCACGCCTCTCCCTCCTCTCCTCTGATAGGGTGAGGAGCGGGCGGGTGGAGGGGTCGGGGTCCCAGGTGAAATCATGCTAAAGTGATGCTCCTTCTTTCGCGTGCTTTTGCCCCATTTCACCAGGGACTGGTTTATTTTGAGAAGCAGTGATTTTAGAGAGAGAAAAGATGATGAGTGGGGAAGAGGAGAGGGGGCCGGAGGTGTTTAGTAAGGTCAGTCACTCAAGGGAGTCTGTGTCACCTATAGGGCACGATGCTTTTTTAAAAATATATCATCCCTTCCTGTAGCTTGTGAAAAACATGCACACCACTTCAGTCAGGCTTTTGTGTGGTTTTAATGAAACACACAACAGCTGAAAGTAAGGTTAGGCAGTATGGCAAAAATATCACCATTTTGATTTTATCAGGTACACTTAAAATTTTTCTTTTGCTAATAGTAGGTAAAAAAAAATCATCTGCATCTTTAGTTCATACTTCAGTGATTGGTTAAATAAAGCTGTCTCTCACTTAGCCATGAAGAACCTGTTTGATGAGAGAAAAATTCTTATAAATTCATCACGATGGAGTATTAGGATGCTTGGAATACATTTGGAAAGTGAGGAAACCTATATACAAATGCAGTAGTTCTGTTTTTCATGTTTTTAAGATCTGTTAATCTGGTACAGTGCCTTTTAATTTTATTTTGAGGTAGAAATCTTGAGTTGTCATCAATAATACAGTAAGATAGACAATGTAATTTAGACATTTCCTGAATTTTCATGCCCTTAGCAAATGCACTGTATGCATCAAACTTATACACTGCATACTGTCAAGTCATCCAACTCTTATTAAGTTATCTTTGTTCAATCTAAGCACTAATAAAATACTACAAAACCCTGCAGGATCAGCCTTATGCTACATGTCTTAACAGTTTTTAAAGGGCTTGTCCTGTTTTTTACCTAAGCAATATTTCTCTTGCACTGGTACACGTGTAATTTATAAGCAGTTCTTGGGGTCAAAATAAACCAGCCATGTGTCTGCATCTAATTATCAAGCATTTATTGTGCAATAACCAGGAATCACATGTTAGCATGCTAGTTGTTGTTGTCTTTACTGACACACAGCAGAACTCCACACTGGTCTGTGAAAAGCGCTTATAAACTTATTACAGTAAATAAGTAGGATGCTTTGGACAACTATAAACTAATAACTTAACTTAAAATGAGCTAGTTGTGTTTTTCACATTACAGTAAAAGTTAGGTATAGTGCCTTTAAATGTTTAGCTATTGCTGTACTTTTTCTTTACAATAATGGAAACTTTTTGGTTATTTTTTTTTCTATGTGATAAGATAAAAGGTAGAAATAATAACTTCTATGACTCACTGCAGATGCAACAAAAAAAAAAAAATCATTCTGCTGTGTATTTATGGCACCTCTTGATTTTTTACCAATATTATACATTTAGAAAATCTGCTCTTGGGTTACTGTGACAATGGTGCGAATGACTTATAATCTTAGCATTTATTGTCTATTTTTACTTCAGCAATATTTCACACTTCAAAATTTGTTACTATGACATGCGTAGTTATTGGTATGTTTTAACCCATGTTTTGATTCACTTTTCTGACTTTTTTACTCTATTGAACCAGTCTCATTTATTAGTGTCACTCGTTCGCTTTATAACATGGCATTCCCGGCAATTAAACTGCAGCCTGATTTATCCCCAGTGGACAGGGGAGTAAAG